TCGGCCTATAGAAGCCATCACTGCGATCCCTCTACAGTTTTTAGGATCCGTTTTTGTGCCTTTCTTGTGTATTGGAGAGATATACGATTCTCTCCATGCTTCTGGAAACTTCTTCTCCGTTTAAGCATCTTTCGAATAATTTTCGGATCATTTCAAACAGTTTTGATGATCCATACATAATCAACTCTGGATGTATTCCGCATGGGCCTTGAGATTTTATTAATTTCATTCCCTTAACTGCTTCTTTTACTTGTTCTATTGATATTTCTATTCTTCCTTCTACTTCCACTTGTTCATTTGTCTGTTTAAACCTTTCTCTTTTCTGTTTGTCAAGTTCTCAAAATGGTCTACCCATGTGTTCTCTGGTATTATATTTATTATGATTTAGTTTTTTGTCGTTATTTTCATCGTTTCTATAGTTCGCCAGGCTTCAGAGTGTACGTAGTTATTTCTATTTTTTCTCTGTGTTCTTTGTTGATGTCTGTATGGTTCCTATCTACGAATGGTGTATATATTTTTTCTATTATCAGGTAGTGGTCCGAGCCGCACTCTGCTGCCCTATTCACCTTTACGTTCTGTACTCTTAACTTAGTTTGTTGTCTTGTTATAAAATAATCTATTATCTATATATTAATAAGGTTGGCTATAACTACAGCAAATTGGTCTCTATCTTAGCCGGTCTTAGTATCAAATGTGTGTCCATGCCTGTCCAGTCTCTTACATTGTTTAGCCCGGACCATTTTCTTCTTCCTGGACCTCTTCTTCCTTCCACTTTCCCTTCAATTATCATTCGTAGTAAGTTTTATTTTTCTCCTCTGTAAATATGTCCTGTACTCTTAACTTCGTTTGTTGTCTTGTTATGAAATAATCTATTATCGATTTTAGACCTCTTGTGGGATTCAGGATTTTTCAATTCTTTCAATTAAAGTCTTATTAGATAATACCGTTATTTTTGCAGACAGTTTAAACAGTTTGCAGCAACTAATAAACAAAGTAAATGAAGCAAGTGAAAGATTTGGACTACAAGTAAACATATCAAAACTAAATTTATGGTCATCAGCAAAAATAAAATTAGAGACGTCCAACTGCTTATCAAGAATACACCAAGGGACCGAGTAAAACAGTTAACCTATTTTGGAACAATAGTAAACGAACAATGAGATCACTCACAAGAAGTAAAATGTAGAATAAAGCAGGCTAGGAGTGCTTCAATAACATGGCCAACCCTTTAAAAGCCACAACCTTAATCTGGAGATAAAAGTAAGGTTTTTACGATGTTATTCTTCTTCTTCCTATGCCGTCTCCATTAACGGAGGTTGGCGACCACATTTTTAAAAGCTTCTCTGTCTTTTGCAACGTGGAATAATTCGTCTACAGTCATGTTTGTCCAGTCTCGAATATTTCGCAGCCATGACTTCCTCTTTCTACCTATTCCCATTTTGCCATCGACTCTACCCTGCATGATGACCTGCAGAAGACTATATTTATTATTTCTTAGTACGTGTCCAAGGTATGCAGTCTTGCGTACTTTTATCGTTCTCAACAATTTTTTGACTCGACCCATTCTTCTCAGCACTTCCTCATTGGTGACCCTGGCAGTCCATGGGATTCTCAACATTCTCCGGTATATCCAAAGTTCAAAGGCTTCAATCTTTTTAACTATTTGCGCTTTTAGTGTCCATGTTTCTACCCCGTACAATAGTTGCGACCAGACGTAACATTCAACAAACCTCAGTCTCAGCGCAATATTCAGATTTTTGTCACAGAACAATTGTTTGAATTTTAAAAACGCTGCCCTTGCCATTTCTATTCGTACCCGGATCTCTTGGTCTGGATCTAATTCTGTGTTGATGTAAGTTCCCAGATATTTATATTTTGTCACTCTCTCTATTTGCTGTCCACCAAGAGTTAGTTGTTCATTATTTATTGGACTCCTTGATACTATCATAAATTTGGTCTTATGTGTGTTGATGTCAAGTCCCATTTGAATGCATTCACTATTTATTGCATCTAGTAAAGTTTGTAGATCTTCTATACTCTCAGCCATAATTACCGTGTCATCTGCATATCTCATGGTGTTTATGATTTCTCCACCAATTCTTATTCCCTCTTTTCTTTCCCATAAGGCTTTTCTGAATATGACCTGTGAGTACACGTTGAAAAGCGTCGGAGACAAGATGTTTAAATTGATGTTTTTTAATTCATCTTTTAACTTCATATGCTGCACTCGGTCAAACGCCTTCCTAAAGTCTATGAAGCATACTCTTGTTATATTCCCGACATTTCTGCAAGAGTACCGTCAACGCAAATAATGCCTCTCTTGTACCCATGCCTCCTCTGAAGCCAAACTGAGTTTCATCTATCTGTTCCTCACATTTCTTATAAATTCGGTTTTGAACAATTTTCAAAAGAATCTTTAAAGGGTGGCACATTAGGCTTATCAATCTATAGTCATTACATGATTTGGGATTGTTGTTTGGTAGAGGTAAAAATATCGATTTAAGCCATTCTTCCGGGATGTTGCCCTCTACATATATGTGGTTGAGAATTCGGATGAGTCTCTTTATATTACCGTCATCTAAGGCTTTTAACAGTTCAACTGGAATTTGATCAGGACCCGGTGCTTTTCCTTGTTTTGCATTCTGTAGGGCATTCTTTACTTCTGAGGGTAAAATTTGTAGGTATTGTTTTTCTTCACCTATATCTTGTTTATTTTCTCTCTCGTCATGGAAAAGATGGATTATATATTGTTCCCATACTTCCTTTATTTTGCTCTCTTTAGTAAGTATTTCTCCATTATTATCTCTTGTTATGAGTGTTCTTCTTTGTCTGGTGTTGCCTGTAAGTTCTTTAATTTTTTTATGTAAGTTTGAGGTGTCATGTTTGTTGCTGAGTTCTTCCAATTCCTGGCATTCTTTGTTCATCCATTCCTCCTTAGCCTTTCTGATTTCATATTTGATTTTATTCTTGATGGTTTTGTATTTATTTTCATCTTTATTTTTGTATTTTCTTTTTTCAGTTATTAGCTCAACTATTTCCGGTGTCATCCAGTCTTTTTTAGTTATTTTCTCTTCTTCGCCTAGGACCTCCTTTCCCGCTTTTAGTATGGCTTTTTTCATATCTGCCCATTCAACGCTTCCTTCAGTTAATTTATTTATCTCTGAGTTTAGTTGATGTTGGCAGTTGTCGTCTTTTAGGTTTTTGATGTTAATTTTGGTGGTTTTACGATGTTATATCTTATCAATATTATACTGCGGAGTTGAATCCTGCACATTCACTGAAGCGATGGAGAAAAAATGTGCAGCCTTCGAGATGTGGCTATACAGAAGAATCCTAAGGATATCATGGACAGACAAAATAACCAACGAGACTGTACTACGAAGAATGGGGAAAGTAAGAAAAGTGATGTATACGATTAAAAGGAGAAAGTTAAATACAGATTACTAAAAATAATCGTTCGAGACAAAGTATTCAGAAATCACGGAATTAGGAAAAAAAAAGAATATCTTGGTTAAAAAAGTTGAGTTTAAATATCTAGGCATCATAATTATCTAGCTACAAAAAGCTCGAAACTGAAGTGGAAGATCAAGTGAAAACTCATCAAAGCAATAATGACATACGCGGCAGAATCACGACTTGAGACAGAGAGGACAAAAAGTATCTTAGTAACAGCATAGATGAATACCTTTAGAAAAATTGATGGCAAGAGAGCTAGAAGGACAGATATGTGACGTAGATACAAGGTGGAAAACATCAAAACTGGGTAAGAAATAGAAGGGTAGAATGGAACGATCATAAACTGAATGACGACAAATAGAGTAGTAAAGACATCAAGAGACGGTTCTCCAATAGGAATAGAAAACGATGGAACGACAACTTACTGAAGGCACATCAAAAATAGAGAGACTCATGTCTACGTAAAAAGAAGAAGAAAAATAAGCATTTCTCTATCAATGTTTGGATATTTCGAATCTGTTCTTTAGTGTTATAAACTTTGCAGAAACCTTCCTATTCTGATAGCTGTCGAATAGATAGCCTGTTAGGGTGTCATATATTTTTATGGTTGTGATAACTTTGTATGGATATGAGAGTAGGCTTGTAGGTAGATAATTTTTGATGCTCTGTTTATCGCCCTTTTTGTGCAGTTAAATGACTTGCGCCTTTTGCCAGCAGACTGGGACTCTCTCATCTACAAAACATTTATCCCTAAAAGCACGCATTGTCTCTAAAGTTGTAATATCTCCTAATTGTAGCATTTCTCTAGTAAATTCCGTCCTCATCATGAGCACGGTCATATTTTGTTTATGTTTAGTATGGAATAGAAAGTGCGCAATTTTTTCATTTGCGATGCCTGTTAATTCTTCTGATCCGACGTTGGTAACTTTAATCAATCTTACACTGTTACTTCGTAGAATTGTCGAGGTACATTACGATTATTTTAGCATTTTCATCTTTATCATGGTTTAGTTCGTTGGTTGTACTTCCATTTGAGTTATTTGTGTTTTTCCAGGTGAGTTAATGGCTTTCATAACTTTCATATTTTTGTTGTTTATAATTGTTCTTACGATTTCCGTTTTTTAATGTGTATTGTATTTCCTTAATTTGTCACTTCTTATAAGAAAAAATTTACCCATCCCTGATATATATGGTATCAAAATATTGAGCTCTGTGATTGCCTAGGTGACTTAATATACTGGAGTGTATCTTAAAAATTTGCGTTCACATCTAGACGTCGTCATCGGGAGAAGTACAGCTTTCTGCATGGTTTTATAGATACTTTCACTTAGACCCAGCTTTTTTTCTGTTTTTAAGAAGTGCGCAAGTTGTGGTTAATTTCAATAAAAGACACTACATAATATTAATATGCCACAAGGAAATAGCTTCAGAACATTGTCCATTTAATTACTAAAAAATAGTTTTTTTTTAGTATTGTATATTAACTTTGTAGATTAAGCGCTCCTAGGGAACGATAAAATATAAAAATCAGTTCGTAGTGTTTTAATTTTTTTATTAAAAAACTAATACTAAAATGGCCTCTTGAGTGTATTTACATCTGTGACTAGCTGTTGTTACCTAAAACAAAAAAAGAACAATTAGACATGATCCATAATAAAAGTTAATATTTTACGGTGTTTTAAAATTGTTAGTTGTACTATGAGAGTGAGTTTTAAAAAACTTTTAATTTTGCTGCAGTATTAATAATCTTAACTATATTGCAACAGATTTGCCACAAAGGGAGTCATTAGATATGCTTAACTTATTTGACTACTAAATCAAAGTAGCTTTTCGTTTAATAAGGCGAACAGAATAAATCAGCACTGTATTTTAGGATTAACAGCAGATTATTGATAAACTTTTCATTTTAAAGGTCATGAGCAAAAGTATTGAAAGAAACTGAGATCTGGGAAATAATTAGCCATGGTATGGGGAAATCTTAAATAGAACTCGTAAAATAAAACTTTTAGTTCTTCTTGCTTATAGTTTTGCAGGCCTTTATCATTATTGGCTTCACTAAAAAGCGTTTATTATTGAGTGCCAGTATTATATATGTCCTTATATTTAGTTTATGTCGATTTTCTTCCATACTTTCCAGGAAGCGTTTTTGGCTTCCTCGTTGTCAGTCTTTAACCTGTCCCACAGGTATTTTTGAACATCAATTTTTAGTCAAATCTTTTTTGATGACCAGATTGTTATAGCAAACGATAAGGATGATCTGGAGTACATGGCAAGGAAATTACAAGGAGAATATAGAAAGTGGGGAATAGAAATTAATACAGAAAAAACCAAATACCTGCCAATAGGTACCGTACTATCGAACATCACATTAGAAAATAACAAAATCATCATGCCCTGCGACAATTACACATACTAGGAATCGTTTTTGACACAATGATGAAGAAGTAAAGAGAAGAATAACATAATCCAGAAAAACAATACCTAGGTTGTCTAAACAACGTACTGAGAGGATACGTAATGATGAGATAATATAGCGAATGGGGGTTGACGGCTCTCTAACAATAGACATAGAAAAGAAACAACTGATATGGTACGGAAACGTCCCGAGGATGGATAACTCAAGACTCCCAAAAATAATTATGGAATGGGTACCACCAAACCGCAGAAAGAGAGGAAGACTCAAGAAATCTTGGAGAGAGGAAGTAAAGAAGGCGATTAGCGCATTCGATCTTAGAGAGGGCCAATCTTTTATCCCTAAAACATTGATTGTATTAGCTGTATTTAATAGGGTGATTTGGAAATGTCGCTTGTATTTCTCTATTCAGATTGTTTGATATCGTTCAGCTGTTTTTTAAAGCAACATGTCTTTTTGACCTGTGCATTGTCTTATGCTGCTTTGCTCTCTTCACTCTTTAGGATTTTCCCTACTATAGAAAGCTTTAAAAACTGTAAGACTTGTTATAGACATCCGGAAAACAAAAAGTATAGCAATACTTTGGGCTCCTTAAAAACAAATGGGTAGCGGGTAGGAACTCCTCTGGATAGTCCTATTAGGGAAAATGAATCAATCCCTGCTCTCCGTAGATTTCATGGGTTTCCTGACCCAGGAAACTAGTACCTGCTTAGGGTCCCTTGTCCAGGGTCACGGATGAAGTCCACAACGGCAGACATGGCGGAGAAGAATACTTTCGGTACGGCGTGGACGGCGGAAGTGGCAATCCCCTGATTTTAGGGATTGTATAGAATCACTCGCCAACCCGCTCGGCAAGCGTGGCGTTTTAAATATGCTAAAACCTCCCAAGTTGAAGATGTCGAGTATCAATACGAAATCATCCCAGGTGAGTAGAGTTATACACTCAGAATCTCACACTGAGCAATCAGTCAGCCTCATGGATTCTGGGGGAGGCAAATATTCGACTAAATCTAATAAGAAAAACTACCCACCATTGCTTCGTATAGCCACTTACAATATAAGAACCATGAGGACCCAAGAACACCTTGACGAACTAGAACAAGAGCTCTCAAATATCAAATGGGATATAATTGGACTGTGCGAAACTCGCTTACCAGGAGAAGCATGTACCATCTTAAAATCTGGTCACCAACTATACCAGAAAAACTCCGTAGAAAATCATCACATAGGCGGTGTAGCGTTCCTAGTAAACAAACGAACTCCCTATAAAATAACGAAGTACTGTGCTGTATCAAACAGAGTCATATATCTTGTCATCGCTTTAAACAGCAGATACAGCTTACAGATAATACATGGATATGCACCGACAAGAAACTCAACAGACGAGGAAGCTGAATCATTCTACGAGGATCTAACAACAGCAAGGAACCAAGAAAAATCACACTTCGTAATAATCACAGGAGATTTTAATGCAAAAATTGGTACAAAAGAAGACGGCGACACACAATATATCGGTCGCTTTGGGCTGGACAACAGGAACGAAAGGGGTGAGATGTTGTACAACTACTTAAACAACGAAAATTTATTTTGTCTCAACACTTTCTTTAAAAAATCTAAACAACGTACATGGACATGGATCAGCCCAGACAAGAAAACTAAGAACGAAATAGACTACATACTCTCCAATAACAAAAACATATGCACCGACGTGACAGTACTAAACAAATTCTATACCGGGAGTGACCATAGATCGGTTAAAGCGAACATTAAAATACAGACGAGAGTAGAACGAAGCAAACTTATTAAACGAGAACGATACCCAACCACCGATGTCCTGTCTCAAAAACAAACGGAATACCAAAAAGAACTAAGCACAAGACTAAAATCAATAGAGACACTGAAACAATTGGATATAAACCGACTAGCCACTAAAATAAAAGTAACTGTAACAACATCGGTTAAGAAAATATGCTCAAACACGAAAACAGCCAAAACATCTAAACTCCAACCTAATACAATTAAACTACTCCAAGAAAGACGAAACAGAACAGATCGAACTTCGGACAGCTTTAAAAGTTTAAACAAAATTGTGAAGAAAGAAATCAGGAACGATCATAGAAATTATAATAACAATCTAATAAAAAATATAATACAAGATAACTGCAACATGAAAGTACTCAAAGCAAAAAACTCAAGCGGTACAACAAAAATCATAGAAATAAAAAATGAGAAAAACGTCACCGTCAGAGACAGAAAGGAAATAAGCGAGGCCATTGAAAAATTCTACACTAAACTATACTCGGTAAATACACAACCACAACAACGACGTACTCAACGAACAATAATTAACACCGGCTCAGAAGAAATACCGGACATAACCGACTATGAAATAAGAATGGCCCTAAATCAACTTAAAACGAATAAATGTCCGGGAGAGGATAAGATTACAGTTGAAATGTTGAAAATTGGTGGCAGAAAAATGGAACAGGTATTAAATGTTTTATTTAATAAAGTAATTAATGAAGGAAAGATTCCTCAAGAATGGTACAACTCCGAGGTCATTTTATTATTCAAGAAAAGAAACAGAGCAAACATCGAGAATTACCGATCCTTGCTATCACATCTGTATAAATTACTAACTAAAATCATAACCAACCGCCTAACACATAAGCTCGATTTCTATCAACCTATCGAGCAGGCTGGATTCAGAAAACATTTTAATACCATAGACCACTTGCACACCGTAAGAACACTGATAGAAAAATGCACCGAGTATAATGTTCCAATTCATATGGCGTTCGTCGATTTCCACAAAGCATTCGATTCCATCAAAATATGGGCAGTGCTTGAATCTCTAGAAAATGCACGCATAGATTCAAGATACATTAACATAATTAAAAACATATATGAAAATGCCACCATGCATATAAAGCTGGACGAAAGCACAAAAACTAATCCCATAAGACTACAACGGGGAGTAAGACAAAGAGACACCATCTCTCCCAAACTATTTACCCTTGCTCTAGAAGATATTTTTAAGAAACTGGAATGGAACAATAAGGGTATCAACGTCGACGGATCATACTTAAACCATTTGAGATTCGCAGATGACATAGTTTTAATAGCCGATAATATCCAAGAACTAAATGATATGTTACAACAATTAAATGCAGTTTCAGGAGCGGTAGGCTTAAAAATGAATTACAGCAAAACAAAAATACTGAGCCGAGACCAGACAAATATAACAATACAAAATCATACCATAGAAAATGTGGAACATTATGTATATCTAGGTCATGTTATCAAACTAGGAAAACCAAATCAAGATGCTGAAATTAAAAGAAGAACACAACTGGCTTGGGGCGCTTTCGGCAAACTAGCACATATCTTGAAAAACACCTCCATTCCTATAAACTTAAAAAAAGGTGTATAACACATGCATACTACCTGTTTGTACCTACGGCTTGGAGACAGTAGCACTTACCAATAAATCTGCCAAAAAATTAGAAACAACGCAAAGAGCAATGGAACGAATCATGCTTGGAATATCACTAAGAGACAAGATTAGAAACACCGAGATACGACGTAGAACGAAGATTAGGGATATTGTGGAAGAAATTACAAAAATGGAATGGCGCTGGGCAGGTCACGTAGCCCGATATAATGACAACAGGTGGACACGGAGAATTCTAGAATGGAGACCAAGAACGACAACAAGAAGCATGGGAAGACCTCAAAAAAGATGGGTAGATGACATAAGAGCAGTGGCAGGCAAACAGTGGATTAGACTGGCGCAAGATAGAGAAAGATGGAAGCAATTGGGAGAGACCTACATTCAGGAGTGGATGGAAAATGGTTGACAAAGAAGAAGAAGAAGAAAAACAAATGAAGAGCTTATAGACAGCCTACAGTGTAGTGTGCGCTCATAACGAAGCGTCGACCCTCGCTCTGATCATGGGATAGTATCATATTATCGAGTTTAGGTAAAATAAATGCATTATTTTAAATGCAAGCGTGTACTGTCAGTGATATGCTCTAGGCGAGGATACAATGCGATGATCTCCGTAATGAAAGCACCCTTACGCTCCATTAGATCTTTAAGTGCGTTCGAGAATGTCATCTACCTTTGATTTTCTACATAACTCCTAGTTTCTTACCCTGTCTCTAAGTGTTAAGTCAATCAATGAGCATTTTATTTTTTTTTGTTTATTTATGTCTGGCTGTTGTTTGGTAAGGGCTGACTTTACCATAGATAGCCCAGCTACCTTACTTTTATGTACCTATTTCGTCTATTATTGTGTCCTGAGTTCCGTCTAAGTCTTGGTTTATTAATATTGTGGGTACATTATTTTCAAAGGTTCCTGTCATTTGGTGCTAAAATGGTTTAACTTTACGTGTTTTATTAATCCCAAATTATAAACAATTCAAACAGACCAAGAAAAAAAATTAGCTTTGAACTAAAGAACTAACTTTATTATTGTTTTATACTCAAACCTGTATAAATTATTAAACTGTAATTGGTTTAAAATTTTTAAGTTTCAGTTACGAAAATTATAATAAAACCTAAACGATATTGTATACTTAAACGTACCATGTTTGGCTGTAACCCTTTTCATATTGATAACCAGAGCCTTTGCTGTATGCAGAGATTTGACCACCTCGACTTCCGCCATATCCACCGCTTACTCCATATCCTCCATTTCCTCCGTAGTTCTCGTAACCACCGTTTCCATAACCTCCGTGTCCACCTCCGTAGTTTCCATATCCACCACCGTAGTTTCCATATCCACCTCCATAGTTTCCATATCCACCTCCGTAGTTTCCATATCCACCTTGGCCATAGCCTCCTGAGTTTCCGTATCCGCCGTGACTATATCCACCATAACCGGATCCGCCGTAACCTCCAGAGTATCCGCCATAACCTCCTCCATATCCGCCATGAACGGGTCTAGAAATGAATACATTTTGTATGATTTTATTATTATTTTTTATTTATAAAGATAATAGTTTGAAATATTAAAAACTGTTACTGGATACACTTATAGTATAATATGAATCTTATTTAACTAATATTTTCATAAAAGATACAGAGTTTTTGGTTACAGAGTCCAAAATCAAACATACTGATTGATCAATTATGAGTGGGATTTAACATTGCAATGAAAGATAAATAACCTCAAGCAATTATTTTGTTTTACTCTTTTATAATTATAATTTGTTTAAAAAGTATTAAAAGCAGCTTTTCTAACTCAACGGTATTTCGTAAACCAGTATATATATTCTCATAAAAAAGTATATAATATACTTACACAACATATTCTTCTACAACAGTTGTTTGTGGATAACTGTTATAGTAACCTCCATGTCCCCCATAGTTTCCTCCATAATATCCACCTCCATAGCCTCCATAACCTGAGTATCCTCCATGACCGTATCCATGACCATAACCTCCGTATCCATGACCATAACCTCCGTATCCCCCATGACCGTAACCGCCATATCCGTAACCTCCGCCTCCAGCAAGTAAACCAGCTCCTAACAAACCGCCACCGATAATGCCGGCACCTACGGCGGCTTTAGCACCGATTAATCCAGCACCTAAGACTTTGGCGCCAATTATTCCAGCTCCTAAGGCTTTAGCACCGATTAAGCCTGCTCCAAGAGCCTTAGCTCCTAGTACTGAAACAAAACACTTAGATTAAACAACAGCTTAATTTCAAAAATATACGTAAATATTATTAAATAGTTCTTACGATTGGGAAACAATATTAAAACAAGTTTACAGAATAAATGTTCTGCCATTAATAAGGTTTTAATATCTATCTATCTATAGCCCAAAATCTGTTCATGTGTTGAATGTAGGCCTCTCCCATTTGTCTTCATTTGTCTCTGTCTTCTGTTTGCCTTTTCCACACTGGACCTGCGCTTTGCTCAATGTCATCTTTCCATCTCATTTGCGGTCGACCTCTGGACCTTTTTGCAGTATATGGTCTCCAGCGGCCAATTTCTTTATTCCATCTTCCATCCTGATATCTTTCATTATGCCCAGCCCATTTCCATTTTATTTTCAATGCATGTTCGACAGCGTCTGATGTTTCGGTTTTGCATCTTATCCACTCGTTCCTCTTTTTATCTCTCAACGATATTCCCAACATTTGTCTTTCCATAGCTCTTTGAGTTTTCTTTATTCTATCTAAGTTGCTTTTGGTACACGTCCACGTCTGGCCACCATACGTCAGAACAGGTAAGACGCATGCATTGAATACCTTCGTTCTTAATTTTGAAGGTATTTTTTGGTTTTTGATAGTATATGAGAGTTTGCCGAATGCAGCCCACCCCATTCTTATTCTTCTGGTTATTTCTTTAGTCTGGTTACTGTTGTCTGCTCTGATAGCTTGTCCTAAGTAAATATATTCTTGGACGTGTTCAATGTTTGTTCCACCTATGGTAATGACTGATCTGTCTTCTGTATTAGTCATTGTTTTAGTTTTCTTTAGATTCGTTTTTAGTCCTTTCTCAAGAGATGTTTTTTCTAGGTCTGAAATCATTATTCGTAGTTGTTCCATAGTTGTTGCTATTAGGAGTACATCATCGGCGAATCTTAGATGATTTAAATATTTCCCGTTTATACAAATCCCTTTATTGTCCCAGTCTATAGATTTAAAAATGTCTTCCAACGCCAGAGTAAATAGTTTGGGTGAGATTGTATCCCCTTGTCTGACACCTCTACAAAATTCTAATTAATGGAGTTTGCAAATCTCTGTCTAGCTGTTTTCTCATAGTGGCGTTTTAATATATATTGTGGATTAACATTCTGTACCGTGAATCTATTCGGCAATTAACTAGCGCTTCTTCCACTGTCCATAGTTCTATGCTGTCAAAGGCTTTTTCATAGTCAATAAACGCTAGGTATATTAAAAGGTTGTATTCGTTGGTCTTTTCTATCAATATTTTAAGAGTGTGAAGGTGGTCGGTTGTGCTGTACTCCTTTCTAAATCCTGCCCGCTCAACTGGTTGATATGCATCAAATTTGTTGTTTAGTCTAGTTGTGATCACCTTGATTGATTCTCAATTCGTAAAAAGCACAGATATTAGCCATGAGTTTTCCATTTGCGCTGATATAGTTTTTATTAAATATTTATTTTACTAGTGAAACTATTTCATTTTCGATTTGTGTATTCAAGTCACCTATAATAATTAGGAGTTCGTCATGAAGTATTTCATCGAGGATGGTGTAAAAATCGTTAGGTTCGCAATAGCCACATCTAGTTGTTATCTTTAATTGTAATATCCAAAAAAATTTGGAACAGTTGTACAAACTGACTTAACATTCAAGCTTGACTCCTCAATTGGTCTAGGAGAAGTCTTACAACTTTATCGGGCATGTTAAACAAGGAGGTAGTGATAATCTTGAGAGACTAATAATTCTCAGAATACATAAGAGCAGTCCATGATAGAAGCGAATAGAAAGAGATAATTACTCATATGGAAGCAAATTACGACACTCAGTAATAAGAAAATGACTAGATAAGGAAAAGATGTACAAATTAATCTTCATTGGTAAAAAGTTATCAGAGAAAAACACAAGGTTGTTTGAATTTACCAATCTGGGTGCTAGGTCACCACTCGAGAGCTAATGTCATTTGGGTTTGCAGATAGGTTTCATTCCTAATATAAACAATAAAAGAACAACCGCGCAAGATTTGATTTCACGTATAGTGCCTTTGTATATTCGCTTGTACATATTTCATCATGCCAGGATTCATCAGAGTGACTAATAAAGAAGCTTTAAAAGAGAAAACAAATCTTCGTCAGAAGAAACAATTCAGAAACAACGTCAGAAACAAGAAAAGTGCTTCAATATGCATGCTATATTGATATCTGAGAATAAAAAGCCAAAGTAGAAATGCAAAGAATTCTTGCTTGTTTAAACCAAAATTCAGATTTTTACTTTAATCTCTGCCTTCTATAAATTATAAGGCAAAACACACAATAAAAAAAAATGTAGGAAATAGATGGGGAATCTAAAAGTTGCATTCAACAATATATCTACTCATCTAAGTAAAAGTCCTCGGTTAACTGGTTTCTTGTATTCATAAAGAGTAAACCGAAATAACAGAAAAGGCAGTTAAGATTTGAGTTCAGGTATAGTACCTCTGTATATTCGCTTATACGTATTTCATCCTAAAAGGAATCATCAGAGCGTCTGGTAAAGAAGCTCTAGCAGTAAAATCAAATATTGTTCGTCAAAAGAAGAAATAATAAAATGGATTTAATATGAACGCTATAGTGACATCATCAAATATACCATCAAAGTAAAATTGCGAAGATTTCTTGATTGACGAAACCAAAATTTAGATTTTTGCCTTAATCTGTGCTTTCTATAAATTGCAATGCAAAACATATGTTTTATCTTTGCAAAAGAAATTTTGTCCTTTCTACTTCAGTGTTTTATAAACCCAACTGCTGTACAGTTAATAGCAGTATCGATTATTGGTTTAAGTAAGTAAACCGTGGTACGATATATCCAAATCTAAACTTTGATATTTTATTATTTAAAGTATAATAAAATAAGGCTGGAAATTCTAAGATTTCCTACATAGCGAAACTAATGAAATAAATAAAGAACAAAATAAAGAGAAATAAAGAACTGATAAAACTAGAACGACTAATGTCCAGTTGCACCAACAAATAAACGATTGATTTTTTGATTTGGATTCCCCGTTTATTTTGGAATATGTTGCACCAACCATTACTTGATGGGAACCCATGATACTATGAATAACAAGATAGGATCTTCCCGTAGCTCAAAATCGGTCTGGTTCGCGCATGCCGTCATTGGAGACTAGAATTTGAATTCTTGTTAAAGTTAAATGAGATTTTTATGCATTCTGTGATGAAATTACTAGACGAAAATAAGTTAAGAGTTTTAATAATTACAATAATCGTACACATAAGGATATCTCCAAACTATTTATTAAAGATTATTTATTGATATATACAAAAACTGACATTTCGAACGTGCAAGTCTCCAATGACGTCACAAAAACATGCGCAATATCTTATCTTATAGTCATAGTATCATGTGGGAACCGACTGTTTTTGATCTGTCAAAAGTAACCAACCGATTTTCTACGGTTATTTAAAAAATCGACTGTTTTTAACCTCACTTTTACACTGTTTATATTATTAAAGTATATTTAGCAAAGATTTTTTATTTAAAGTATTATAGATTATAATTTAAAAAAAAAATGGATTTATCATCATCGTCGTCATCGAGTTCATCTTCTGACAATTTGGAAGATATAATGCATATGTTACCAAATATAAGATATGTAAGAGATCGCAATGATTTGTATAATTAATATAATGAAGTTGAATTTAAAGCAAGGTACATATATCATTATTTATCTGAATGACTAATAGAAATGCATTTTAATTATTTTTAGATATCGAGTAAGCAAGAAAACAGTGTTTTAGTTATTTTATTTTATTTTTATTTTTATTTTTTATTTTATTTTGTTTTTTATTTTAGTCCTTTTAGAACGTTTTCATAAACATTTAAGTTATAGGACAGGATGGAATAATCCGGTGTAAAATAAGAAATAAAATGAATAGAGAAGTGGCTTCCTTTATTTTTCATCTTAAATACACACTAAACACGCAAAATTGCAAAAAAACAATGTTATTATAATAGTTCAATGTTCAATTGCATTGGCAAAACCTTACAAAACTTTCTTTGTTGACAATCTTTTTGACAGATCACACTCCGATTCGAATGAAATAATCGAAATAATCTGTACTCGTGCAATGTTGCCATGTATAAATTGTCATGTATAAATTGGTTTGTAAACCAATAGTTTTTTATAATGGTGCAACGCGTTTGAAAAATAACCATTGATCGTTGATTTAAATCGTCGAATTGACGGTTAGCAAATCAGTTGATTTACAGACTGTTGGTGCAACTGGGCATAATATGTCGTTCTGATGAGACCTAAAGAGGTTGAAATGCATATAAACGGCTTGCAGATGCAAATTAAATCGTATACCGTCTTTCTGTATTATAAAATACTGTACAAAAACCACGTAGAAGATATATGAAGAGCAAAATAACTGAGATACCCAAAGAAAATAGTTTCAAAAGGATGTAACTGTTAAATTTTTCTATTTAGTATTTTATTTTTATATGATTTTTAGCTTTAGCAGTATTCATTTAGCTTGAGGTCTTTTGAAATTTTGAAAGTTTCTTAGTTTTGCCCAATTTCTAAAACAAGAAATAAACAAACCTTTTCGAAATAATTGTGACGAAACAAACAAATTAGTCATAAGGAATTATACATAGAGGAAATTGTCTCTATCTACCATCTATTTTTGTCACTTGGATAGTGTAATTTTATGTGGAATTATACGTGTGTAACATTTAAATTGGAATAATATTTCAATTAGATTGTAAAACCAATTATTACCTTGGGTGTTACTAAATTATGTCTCCTGTAATGAGCATTCAGTTATTTCTAGTAAATTATACCGAATTATGGGACCCTGTTGTTTTATTCATTTGAGTAAACAAATATTGTTCACACCACAAAAACATTATTTTATAAATTTAAGCGATATTTGATTTAAAAAATAATTTTTTTTAATAAAAAAATCAGTTGTTTTAATCATAGGTGTTCTAA